ATATATGTATTTATAAATGTATATATGTATATTTTAACTTCAAATTTAATTAGCTGTCTGTTTTTACATTTTCTTTCTTCTAGTCTGAATAACCTACGCTATTCAAATCCGTTATTATTATCTCTTTTCCTTTGACGACGATATTGGAGGACTAACTGGTGAAAGGATCAACTCCATTCACAGTAGCAACAAAGTCTTAACACGCCGCATACTACAAACAACATATAGTCAGTCCCAGCACTACTCCTTTTGAAGTCAATCAAAGCTACGGCAGCCAAGCGGCGGGACGAACTACGCAAAAGTTTACCGAAGACCAACAACCTTTACGTCCCAATCAAAAAGCGAGTACAGAGAAATCAAATTGGTTTAAGCCAGCTCTCAAAAACGATATTGGATACTGGACCTTGTAAAACTAGCTTGTCCTCAAAAGATGTCGAGCTCCAACACGAGTTGTGGATAACAACTCTGCAATTAGCCGAGAAAATTCTAGGCATGGTTAGAGACACTCTTCCATGGGAAGTTTACACGAAAACCCCTTGCATTTTCGTGCATGAAAGCTATCGCCGTAACGTCTTCAAAAGGTTGCATGGCTTATCCTACCTGGGTATTCAAACTACCATCAAGCTCATTACAAGCCGGTATTTTCACCTGGTATTAATGAAGAAGTAGAAGAATGGGCTCATACGTACCTAGCTTGCCAAAGGTGCAAGGCAATAAGACACACCAGAAACATTCTTTGCAACTTTCTTATCCCAGATGCTCCATTCGGACACGTCCATATAGACCTGGTTGGACCCCTACCAGAATCTCATGGATATACTTATATCTTTTATGCGGGAGCCGGAAGCAGTGCCCCTCAATGACATATCTGCTGAAGTAGTCGCACACGACTTTGTCGAAAGTTACGGATGCTCATCCTCCAAAGCAGCTGATCGCGTGGGGCAATTCAGAAGCGACTTATTCTACGCCTTGACTAAAATCCTTGGTTGTATGCATTTTAGAACGATGGCCCACTATCATCAAACTAATGGCATGGTAAAACGTCTACATTGGCAGCTGAAAGCTGGGCTATCAGCAGCAAACAAGGTACGTTGCACTGAATCACTACCGTTTGTTCTTCTAGGCATACGAAATGCCTTGAAAACTGATGCTGGTTTTACTGATGCCGAGCTACTATACGGCGCAAAACTACAACTGCCAGGTGAGTTCGTTTCTTCCTCTAACTTCCCACAAGCGGTAGATCATGCCTCATATGTCAGTAGGCTTACAAACGTAATGCGTTCAGTTAAACCTGCTCCCCTCCGACTACAGTCTATAGACGTCTTTGTTCACCCGTGTTTGAAAACTTCTTCACATGTATTTGTTCGTGGTCACTCTGTGCGTCGCCCTCCAGAACCCCTGTACGACGGACCACAAAAAGTTATTAAATGTGTGGATAATTTTTTGACCTAGACAGAAAGGGTCGCAAAGACTCTGTTAGCATCGACCATTTGAATTGGGCCTACCTGGAAGTTAATCCCATCAGCCTAAAACTAAGCATTCGCAATAATTCACAAGTAACCGAATATTTGTTGGTCCTCAAAGAAGTCACTAGCACGTTGAAAGCCACCTAACCTTCTGTCGAGCTCTAAAAAACGCGTTCTGAACGAACTGTGAGATTCCCAGGACATTTTCACACTTATCTCACATAACAAAATGGTGCGACTCATACAATTTTTATTCGTTTGTGGAACATATTTTTTTCATTGCATCCCGCATCATAAGTCACACATTTTATAACCGTACACTGAGAAAAACTATGTTTTTCCGATGTTCAATTTTTCGCATTATTTTTCTGTATGGCAGATGTATACTATCATCCAAACGTTATTTTTGGTACATTTTCCTCGACAAGTTTCTCAGCACTTTTGTTTTCTTTTCCAGATGCAAGGGGCACTGGATAAGATGCAAGCGATATAGCAGATCCAACGGACAAGCATAAACGAAGCGATGTACACGCACTCAATTAGCATAGGTAGACAACCAGTAGGCAATCTATCAAGCTGATGATAACGCCATTGGATCTTCGCCACTAGGGTACATATGTAACGACAGAGGACAAGAGTCAGGCAACAGATCATTTATTAAGGAAACCAACGCATATTTATATATGTTTCCATGTACATAACTATGGATATTTAAGCAAACAAACACAGTCTTCCGATTGGTTGTTTCTCACGTAAAGTTAATCTTTCATCTATTTGTGACTGTTTCTTGAATTTCAAATACTCTATATGTTAACTGCATCCGCCCACGCAAAGTATGCTGTGGTCGGTTTTGAATCAATCTTTTGTTCACATTTTCTCACCACAAATCTTGGGAACGTAAATATTGACGTAAATTACTGTCTACAAATTTGGCTAGTAGACAGCTCTCACCACACATATATTGTCAGCTGTTGGTGTAAGTGCCTTCCGTCCGACGCTGAGTTGTTCCAGATCCTCATGGCATTCAGTGTTTCATAGGGCGTCTCTTGGGATGATTAGATACCGCTACTAAATATGCATATCTTAATGTCTGTCACACATTAGCTCGAGAGCTTGTCAATCAGGCTTCGTCATGCTGATAACCGCTCACAAATCTGCCCACTGTTTCAGCAAATAATTGGTCCCTGGTACTTTTTGTGTGACTGTTGCTATGACATACTTGTAATTACAGTACCTCTCAATCCAACTTTCGGAAATACACGATTCGAAAAATAATGTGTGAGTCTCTTTGAAATATTGCAAAAATATTCATTCAGACATCTATAAAAAACACAAAATAATCGAGCAAAGAATATTCTTTTCGATAAATTCCTCTTCCAGGCTCTACAATTATGTATGTGTTTATATACACAGAATATTTTAAATCAGCAATAAATGTGTGATGCCGCAAACACTAGTCACAGCGGAACACTTTAAAGTCAGGCTAACCAATGTGTTACAACATGAAACTTCAAGTCTGAGGGAAATTCAAATAACAGATATAAAATATTTCAAAAATATAGTTAAGATCTAGTACCACGAATCTTAACAAAGTTGTTTGCAGAGCTGGTCTATGCATTGAGTGGACCTTGCCTTTTCCCTGACGGATCAATACAAATTTGTGACTGATGGTTGATGAGGAGAAGTACCATACCGGGTTCATATGAGTAATGCCGTTATGGAATTGTAAAAATAGATGCTATGTTGGCAAGTTTCGGTACATAAAATACTTTTGAACATCAGTACCAAAGTAGCTAATATATTGTCTGAGTCTTCATTAGATAAGCTAGCTCAAGAGAACGAATCACACTTTACCAAATCCTTTGTGTAAAAGAATAAGAAACGTCTGAGTCACTTTAAAGTCAACCATAACACTTCTGTGACTTCTGAATTAATCACCTTAGGCGGTATTATAGATAGGACAACCACTAGATTTCAATACATCACTACGGAATGAAGGGTGGTTTTCTTCTAGAATCCATGGGTACTAGGTAAGAAGGATGCCCATGAACATCGAAACAGTATTTCTCTGAAAATCTGTGCACTGGTAACTTGCTTCTGGATCTACTTTACTGAGTAATAATTGTGCTGTGTCGTTCTCCACATAAAAAGCCAATGACGTAACGCATATAAGTGTCTAGTCTTGCGTGGACACGTACAGAATTACTTACTCGACTGCAGAAAAATTTGGAACAGACTGATTAAATAATAGCGACTTATATTATGGTGAAGCGTCGGTAGCACAGCGGTAAGGACACTCGCCAACCATGCACATGGTCCGAGGTTCGATCCCCGGCCGACGCACTCCTTTACCTCACTAAGCCAGAAATAAAAGCTGGTAAAGAGGAAAGGTTGGGCATGAGGTGGCTAGCAACCCCATCCTGTAAAAATAAACGCTGCTACAGAAACTTCAAGCCCTTAGCTTGAAGCTCTATGTTCCACTAGGAAGGTGAAGGAATAAAAAAATATTATGGTAAAAGCTGGTTGCGGGCCAAAATTGTAGACAGCAATTTACACCTATGTTTACGTCCCGAATCGGGGTCCCGAGAAAAACAATAACTAGGCCTAGCCTTGAGAAACTCACCAACCAATCACAGCAGACTCAAAGTGTCCAAACACGATTCGCAGATATATGGCTTAACTTCCTGAGAGACGGTCACAAGCAGTACAGAATAACCTTCAGCAAGAAAACAACCCATCAAAAGAAGTTGCTTCTCTGATACATTAACGAGGAATGATTTAACATAAAAAATCTATAAATATCTCTTGATTTTCTCAATAAAAGATCTGTTGCCTGGCCCTTGTCTTCTGACGTTGCAATACGACTGCCAGCTGAACCCAATTTCGCAAGTTATGACATAAACTTGAGTGGGGAAACTCTATTGTTACGATGATAAGATTATTGACCGTGGCGTCAAGCGCTATATTGCGCAACTGAATATATCGAAACCTGAGACATCTCATATACACTAAACATATACAATAAGGTGAGTCATGACTAGTGCTAACTGATTATTGGTTCCGAAGTATAAATGACTGACAACTTGCTTGGTTTCCTCTTACTTAACCTATGTAGACATGCGCCAGTGGTTCAACGGTAGAATACTAGCCTGGCCTTGAGATTCCCTCAAACATCACTTAACTGCTAGCAAGAAGCCTAGTAAAGAGGAGAGAGTTTGAGCGTGAAGCTAGCAGCTCCACGCCATAGAAACAACACCACTACTACTGGGACGTTGAAGCCCAGGCGAAACGTATAGAGAAGCGAAAAATGTGACCTATTTTGACAAAATAAGAAGGCATTTATTTAGGTAAACAAAATGAAAATTATATACAGCCAGAAAAAGAAGCACCATAATTTTAATTTATGCATAGAATTTCTTATTCTGTTTATTCTTCTTTGCTTTTTTAGATGCTTGAATTTTAGCATATTTTTGGTATTAGATGGTTGGAGGCAATCGGCAAGGCTTCCTGCCGATTGCCTCCAACCATCTAATACCAACAATTCACAGTGCACCGTAATGTCGAGCCACCTAGCATGGTGGCCACATTGCAAACATGACTGATAGAATTCAGTCTGCACCGAAAATAGGACTAGACACATTACACTAGTTACTGACTAGTGTGCAATCAAAAATTTAGCATATTTTGTCTTGATTGGCTGTTCATAACGAACCGCCTCATTGTCATCTTCATCATCGCTCATTTCATCGTTATGCATATTGTGATTATCGTTCACTGCTTCATCGTTATCCTTATTTGTAAATGTAACACCCCATCCAATTGATTTATTAACACGATGCGTCTCTTTCAACTCAGCTTGCTCCTTCTTCTGTTGTTGATTCAGCTTTGCAATGCACTTCCATGTTTTACGTGCAGCTGCTATCCCAGCCTCCCCAGATGTTTTCAACTTGAAGCTGGCCGGAGGTTTAGGCAATTTACGCTTGGAGGATTGTTTTTCTACAGCTGATGAGTCATTATCACCGTCACTATCAGATGATGATGATGATGATGGCGATGAGCGGTTTTCATTATTGTCACTATCATCATCATCGTCATCACTTTCAGCATCATCACTGTTATCTGAATTGGCATACTCTTGAAGTATGTCTTCATCCATTGGTAAATCGAAACTAGGGAGATCATCATTGTCGACAGGTTTTTGACTTGCTATCTGTGCTCTAATCGTCTGAACAATCAGAAAAGAAAACAAATAGAAATATGGAATAAAAATGTATGTTTAATTGGAAAAAGGTACTGAATATCATATTGAACACACTTTTTGATGTAGTTGTGTTCTCTGAGCTAGGCGCATGGTTTATTTGTGAAGCTTTTATTGCCCCAACACTAGGCAACATCTTCAGCGCATACACTTCAATTTGATGAAGTGAGCTTTTAGATTTCTCCATGAGTCTACAAGTCACCTCTGCTGGTGACAACACGTTGTCAGAAAAAGCATCAAAGATAGGACTTCAGGTGAACATAGAGGAAAAAGAGGTGGGTGATGAAGATCCCTGGCCAAAAGCAACAGCAACAATCAGCCAAGATAACGGGAGAAATCTGAAAGAAGCAACCTCCTTCACCTACCTACCTACCTACCTACCTGGGAAGCATCGTTTCAAATACAGGCGAAACTGACGAAGATATCAAAGCAAGAATCGAGAAAGCAAGAGGAGCTTTCTTTACTCTCAAGTTTGTGTGTAGATCAACAGCACTCAGCATCAAAAATAAGATCCGGATTTTCAACTCCAATGTGAAGTCAGTGCTACTTACTATACGGATCAGAGACTTGGCGCGTCATGAAGAGCATCTCAAACAAACTACAGACCTTCATTAACAGTTGTCTTCGCAGAATACCCAAGATCAAATGGCCAGCCGGAAAATATCAGCAAGAGAGATCTCTGGGAGCGAACCAACCAGGAACCGATTGTTTAACAGGAAGAAATGGAGATGGATTGGCCACACTCTGAGGAAACCATCAAGTAACATCACTAGACAAGCCATTACTCGAGTGGAAACCGAAAGGGGAGCGGCGAGTTGGTCGTCAGTGCAAGGTTGACTTGGAGGAGGTCATGTGAAGAGGAGATGAAAGCATGTGGGCAGACTTGGAGACAGGTGAAAACTCAAGCAGAGAACAGAACGCAATGGAGACGCACGGCTGAAGCCCTATGTTCCTTTAGGAATTAAAGGAAATAATAATAATACCTGGTAACCTTGAGAGTGATTGGTTATTTTCGTGTGTTTTCACACGCTCTAGGCTACTTGTGTTGGTACTGATTGTTTCCTTGACTTGAACTATGACCCTTTGCGTATGAGATATCCTTCTTTATCGACTAGTAGATTTTGTCTATATCATCAACGTGTTTATTGAGTGACGGTTCACTGGAATACCATGTAGGCTTCTAAAAATTCTCTAGCATTTATGATGTTTCCTGTGTCTAATATTTGAACGTCGTCGCAGTAGAATTGATGTCCGTGGTTGCCTGTATGCAGCGATATGAGTGATGGAATGGATGTCATGTCTTTTTGGATACAAAGACGAAGGGGACATCCGCTTTGGCCAATGTAGTGTTTTTCACAGTCATTGCTGTTGGTGTTATCTACTCTCGCTGTTGAGTCTTTCGGTTGACACAGAGTTGAGTGAAGTGATTTTGTTGGTTTCCGTACGATGTCAATATATGGTAGGGCGATTTTCTTTGTTCTTTCCTTGGGGGTCTTTGATTTGATAGGTTGGCTTGGAGGTATATGTCTTTTGATGAAATTCTCTGGATATTCATTCTTTTGGAAGGCATTCATGAGATATCTTTCTTCAATTTTCCTTGAGGTAGGTAGGAGTGCTGCAATGAGTCCTAGCTGTCTCCCTTGAATAGTATTTGCATACAATTCCTTGTGTGTGTTATTGGATTGTCGCTGTTTTAAGTGAGTATTTGGTTATTGTAAGCTGATTTTCTATAAACTTCATTTTCTAATTTTCCTATGGTTTTTCGCTTGACTAAGACGTCCGAAAATGGAATTAGAAAAAGAAAGCATCATATTAAACACATGTAGCTGACACTGTTGTCGTTATAGACACACTGACTAAGTGATGAGTTCCATTGTAGGACTCTATACAGCTGAACTTGCCACGCTCTATTTTACTATGAGATATACAGCGGTTCAGTACTCTCTGGTAGTTTTCAATGGTCGGTTCGTGATTGAAAACCTGAGATCAGTCAGATCCCTGCAAATCAACACTTAGAAATGAAATCATTTCCCACAAGTGACAAGCGTGTCATTACACACACACATGTTCTGTGGTGGACAGAAGTATACAAAAAAATGTCACAGCTAAACACAACCTGCATACAATGTGGTCACCAACAAGTTAGGAGAATGACTGAAGATCAGGATCTCATAAGAAAAAACAGGTAAGTAAACTAATCAAACAAACAAACAAACTAAAGCAGGTAGTTACAACATCATCACTACTGAATAACGATCATGAAACATAACTGGTGACATCTCGAGATATAGTGATTAGGATTCTCTTCAGCCCCGTACCCAGGGAATCCTGATGCTCCGAGAGATGAGCACTCAACACAACTATCATCTCACAGCGACACGTCATGGGATGAAGCCTCCTGAACCTGAATGGCATTGGTCAAAGCGAAAACAGGAATTAGGACGTGGACAGAAGAACCGGCAAAGACGCGACTTCCGATGAACAAAGAGAAGACGGAGTTAGGTGATGATTACAACTAACCAACAAACAACAACAAATAGCACCAACCACTATCAAAGGAAGTATCGTTTCAACTACAGGCGACAGCACGGATGACGATGTGAAAACCAGCTAGAATTGGGAAGGAAAAGGACTCCTCCACTACTCCAAAATCAGTTTGGAGGGAATCATCATCACCAGACCAGTATAAAGAACAAAATTCAGATTCTCAACAACAATGGTTGAGTCAGTCAGTTCTTCTAAGTGAGTAGCAAACTTGGTGATTCAAGAAAAGCAATCCCAACAGCCAGCTGAAGACTTTTATCAACAATTGCCTTCTCTGTCTCAATACTGAAGATCCAGTGGCTGACTAGGGAGAATCGGCGAAAAGAAACTCTGGGAAAGAAACAACAGGCGAGAACCTATTGCTTAAAAAATATGAAAAAGAAAATGGAGATGGATCGGACACACGCTGAGGAGACTACTGGGAAATCATGGACCAGCCAGGCCGTCACTCGAGTGGAACCCCAAGATGACATGGAGATCTTGCGGGGAGGAGGCCAGGGACAGTCGTGGGGATAGCTAAAGAGGACACCAGAGAACAGGGAATGTGCTGTTGAAGTCGTATGTTCCACTCAGAACCCAAAGGAATACTAATAATAACGATAATAGTAATACATAAGCCAAATGAGGCAACATCATCTACAAGATCAACTGCAAAAGCTGTGAAAAATATTCTCATTTGGACCACAGTGTACATCACTTTTTCATCTTTGCAGCCGACGTCAACAGACATGATATCTGTTCTCTCATATTATTGGATACAAACCACCACGAATACCAATTCGACTGGGGGAACGTAAAAATCTTAGAGAACCGATATGTCAAAAATGCGAGGGAATTTCTAAACGAGTGTTTACTGAACAAAGAATATTCTTTTCGATAACGCCTTATTCATCAGACTCTACAGTTACATATCCATCCATAATAGTGAATAAATGAATCAGTCTTATTAACAACATTAATGTTGTTTCAATAACATCGAATCAATAATATCAATAGATTACAGTTCAACAGTATCAACATAAAGTAAGCTGAATGTCAGAAAAATTAGGAAAGATAATATTACAAATTCATGAGTTTATAGTTTCTACTGATAGTCGGCCAGGGCAGTAGAAGTGGCTGTTTGAACTTGCTTCTGTTGCATACAAAGCATTGGTTGTTTCACGCGAATCGCGATAGCCTGTGCGGTATTTGGATGTTCTTGGTAATTTGTTTGGTACCCGATAGATGATACAGAAGCATTCGTCAATACTGGCTTTGTGTTCCGTTTGGACCAGGTGGTCTAATATCGAACTGTTTATGGTCTTTACTACACCTTTATTTAACCACACTGGTAGATGTTCCCAAGCGAGCACGAAAAAAAAACCAAGTTCCTAGAGCGACAGCCAATATAACTCGCTCCACATCACAGGAGAGCGTAGTTGAATGGGTAGATACAATTAGAGCTGGCTAGCCTAAAAGCCTGATATTCCCGACGAGTCTGTAAACAACAGACACACATATGAAATTGGCAACTGGTAATTTGAAAAAAAAAAGACATTCAGCGAAGAGACTCTTTTCGACGAATTCATTCACATAGCTGTACAATCGCATTTATATATAAATATTTGTGTGTGTGTGTGTGTACATGAGGTTTGTCAAGTTTAGATAATTGATTAGTTAATACAAGAATGATGTAGTATAGAGACAAAGTTAATCAGACAGCAACTAAAGTAAGACTGAGTTAAAAAACTAGATGACGTAATATAATTGGCTAAAATGTTACAACTTAGGTCAGGATAGCAACAGAGGTAATTACAGGTAGAGATTAAGTAGAAGTGAAATTGAGTGAATAAGTTGGATGACGTAACATGAATGATTAGAAACTGAGCATTGTTCAAGTCAGTAACAGTGGTAGTGGGGTGTAGAGATTGAATCGGGTGGCGGTAGAGAACAAGAAAGTTGAAAATGTAAAATGTTACAATTGAGAAGACAAAATAATACTAATGAAGAGACAGAAGAAAAGATTAGGTAGAATTTACATGTCGGCTAATAAGATAGATTACGTCCATTGCAAGTGTAGTGATTGAACGAACTTCTTCTGTATGCAGAGTTCAGGACTTAGCAAGTGAATCGCCATTGCTTCTGCAGTTTGAAGAAGTCTGATTCGTACACCTTTAGGGAGACTACTTCTTACTCTGTAGACGACTTTGAAGTTTGTTTGCGGTGTGGCTTGGTGTCCGGATTCTATCAGATGTTCTAAGATGGAACTGCCGGGGCATCGATTTTCTCCTTTGTAAAACCATGCTGGTAAGTGCTCGGTGATACGTTTGGAAAGCGAGCGCTGGGTACGGCCGACATACCCGGCTCCACACGAGCAGGAATTCGCCGAAAAGAGTCTCTTCGCTGAATGTCTTCTCTTTTTCATATGACTCAATGGGGATTTT